GGAGGGACAAAGTATCCAGTTAACTAATATATATATATATATATATATATATATATATATATATATATATATATATATATATATATCTTGCCCAAAAAAAACAATATATATATATATATATATATTGTTTTTTTTACAACTTTTAAAACAAATTATCTGTTAGATTTGTCTAATAACAATAATAATGCATTGAACTTATAGAGCGCTTTTCTAGACACCCAAACACGCTTTCACACACTCTCACATTCACACACTGCTAGTGATGGTAAGCTACTTGTAGCCACAGCCGCCCTTGGGAGGTCTGACAGAGGCGAGGCTGCCATTGGGCGCCTCTGTCAGAGGCTTAGGGTTAGGGTTAGGATGCCATTGGGCGCCTCTGTCAGAGGCTTAGGGTTAGGGTTAGGATGCCATTGGGCGCCTCTGTCAGAGGCTTAGGGTTAGGGTTAGGATGCCATTGGGCGCCGTCGGCCCCTCTGACCACCACTATCACAGGCAAGTTGGGTGAAGTGTCTTGTCCAAGGACACAACAGCAGGATCCCCTGGTGGGAGCTGGAATCGAACCCATGACCCTTCGATCATGAGGCAACCCGCTCTACCACCTGAGCTGCTGCTGCCCCATTCTAAAATGTGTTCTTTCCCGTTTTCACTACAAGTTAACTTGTCTGACTCCTCAGTAGCAGGAAGTGAGCCAGTACTGCTGCACACACATGGTGACCAATCAAGTGCCTTCTGATTAGTGAGAGAAGGCCGGTTAGTGACCAACTACATGATTCACCACTGGTAGCTGCTGGACTGGTTTCATCTGCTAACCAACCTGACCCCTTCTTTCCACCGGAGCCGTCAGCAGCGCGAGTCGGCCGCGTCTCAGGAGCAGCATGTCCCGGCCCTTACGCGCCAGCTCTATTTCCTACGCGCGACGCCTCTGAAACGGGTCAAGTTCGACATTTTTGGGGAAGGAAAGACAGGAAATCGGACGTGGAAACGGAGCGAAGCTCCCGAGATTTTCAGAATAAAGAAACTTACTTCCTTCCGGTTGCTTTACTTTAAAAAAGGTTACTAACTGTGCGTCCCCGTGAGAAGTTATCACCTAGCTAGCGGTCTCCTTTGTTTTTCAGGTCCGTATTGGCGATTATAAAACAGACAGAACATAAAACACAAACCATGTTGTAGTTTTCTCCTGCTTGTTGTTGTGTTTACTGACGACGTCACTCGTGTGACTTCGTGCTCGGTCGGTGACAGCTGCTCCCCTGCTGCTTCGCGTCTCGTGGGAAGGGCCAAGCAGCGGCTTACGCGAGCAAGACGTGCTGCTGCAGTAACGTGCTGCTGACGGCTCCGGTGGAAACCCGGGGTGAGTCCTGCTGAGTCAGCCTGAGAAATGTGCTGACTCAGCATTATTCTCACCTCAAAGGTTTGCCTAAAGAATCAGTGAAGGGCAGTAAATAAAACCCAGAATGAAAAGTTCTGTTTTATTCATGTTTGGACAGATTATTTAAAACCAAACTCACTCAGATGAAATGTTGCTACCTTAATCTTTTCAGAGCAGATTTTATTGGTTTTATATCATTCTAGAGTTTAATGGGCTCATTAAAACAGACGTGTGTGGTTGCTGCCCCCATGTGGTGGTTCTGAACATTGACTCAGAACTTACTATTGCCCTGAAAAAGGAAACCTGTCGTTTCAGTTACTATTTTGGTCTGTTGGTATTATTATTGTGTGAAATTTAGCTGAAGGAAAAATGTAGGAGCCGTTTTCCTCTAAAACAATAAATTATCAAAAGGTAAATATCAGGAGCAACAGGAGAGTCACTGAATTAGAAAGGTACTTGTAAGGCAGGACACGGGTCAACTGGCAGAGGGGGAGCTACACACCTGGGATTCTGATTGTGGTGGGTGTGGCCAACATGGCTGATTGTCATTTCTGCAGGAACCAACAGACACCTGGGCTCATTTATCAGCCGTACTTATGAACTGATCTGAGCGTCTTTCATGTGTTTTACACATTGAGAGGTATTTACCATCGTGTACTTGCTGTAAGAACAGCTCAGACCATGTGTATGAACAGCCTCTAGTGGCAGAACAGGGGAACTGCAACGCTGAAGGTCTCAGTCATCCATGCGTGTTCCTCATCCTTTACCCAAGTAGAGAAACAGCTTCATCATGTAACTGCTGTTAGGTTCTTGTTGGTCACAGGTGTCCTTTATAGGTTCTGACACTGCAGCATGGCTGATCTGGTGTTACTGGAGGATCTGGCAGGGCGTACTCTCCGGAGGAAATGCCTCCATGGGCGCACGGATCTGATTCCTGAGGGAGCCGTGCCATGATTTGGGACCCTTTGTGGAGTGACAGTCAAATGAATCGCATGAATTCGATTCAAGTCCACATTCAATTGTTGACCCTTATGAGAACCCCCTCTGCTCCCCGATCATACATGCGTTGCCATGGTGACTGACAGCTCAGAAGAGGCTACACTCAGACAACAAACATTTACAAACAAACAACAAAACTGACTCCAGACAGGACGACTCCTTAAATGTAAACGACAACCCGTTACTCTACTATTGATCAGATTAAGGTGTGTGTGTGTGTGTGTGTGTGTGTGTGTGTGTGTGTGTATACCTTCTTGCTGCAAGGCAACAGCTCTAACCACTGCGCCACTGCGCAGCCTTCACACAATTCCCACTTAATAAAACACACTTCCTACTTATGTGCTCCAACACACCTGATAACCTGCTGAACAGGTGACTTAGCTGTTGGTGTAGGGACACAACTAAAACATGCTGCATAGGATTGGGTTGTATTAGATCATTTGTCACATGTTTTTACCAGTAGGTGGCAGCAAAAGCACGTAGCAAACACACAGGAACTATCTTCTAGTTGATTCATCAGTAAGCGATGCTGGTAGCCAGTAAACCTGTTTAATGAACACACTTTTAGTGGTTTCATTTCTTCCCTTCATAGTTGAATAAAACAACGTGTGTACTGATCATTAGCTCATTAGCTTGACCATTTGCTGACTCACTAGGATACATTGTGATCATTGCTGAGTGTCCCTAAAAATATCCATCTGCCTCTTTGATAGTACATGTAAACGCCTTCGTGTGCCACAAGGTCCAGGTTGAACCTTGTTGCACGTGAGGATGCATGCACCAAGTTTCTAACAATCTTGTTTTTCTCCACGTTTGTATTTCTAGAGAAAAAGGACACAGTTCTCCGACAGGTTCGTCTGGATCCGTGTGACCTGCAGCCCGTTTTTGATGACATGCTGCACATCCTGAACCCAGAAGAGCTACATGTTCTTGAGGAGATCCCAGCAGCAGAAGACCGGCTGGACCAGCTTTTTGAGATCGCAGGAGTCAAAAGTCAGGAAGCCAGTCAGATACTGTTAGACTCCGTCTACAGCCACCTGCCTGATCTGCTATAGTAGGGTAGAGATGTAGAAATCAACGCTGACATTAGACAAGGTTAGGTTTGGGAGAAGGAAGACTCAGATGTAGAATTGCTGAGATTTAGCTTGTGTTGGTTTTCCAAATCGGGACCAAATCAAATGACCTGCGGCCTCATTTATGAAACCTTTTGCAGAATTCTCCCTAATAGTCTACGTAAAGCTGGAGTTCATTATTAAAGTAACTTCAGAAAGCCTGGGATTCGACTACCTGACCCTGTTCCACAATAGTGTAGGGAACCTGTAAGCCCCTCCCCTCATCTACAGCAGAGCCAATCATCACGCGACCCTAGAGAGTTGACCAATAGAAATATGATTCCACAAGAGGGAGCTGTCAATCAATGAGATTGTGCCTCAGTTCCCAGCATGCACCACGGGGTGATGCAGACTCCTTAGTCAACATAGCACACTTACCTAGCTTGAATACTAACTCAACTTGTGTTAAATTAATTTGGGTTTGTTAACTTCTAACTAACTGGAAGAAGCTAGCCTAACAAGCCAGACTAAATAAATGTATTATTTAGTCTGGCCATGCTCCATTGACGGCTCTCGGTTGTGGGGCGGGTTCTACCGTTGTCTTTCTAATGATCTCCGCATTCCACTGGACGATGAATGCGACATACTCTTGTTTCACTCTGTTGCATCATCCCACCCACCAGGCATATAGAGTGCCCTGATTGGCCCACAAAGCAGATAAAGCTCTGTGATTTGTTCACTAAGCAGATAGAGCACTATGATTGGCCCACCATTATGGACCAATCACAGCTCTTTATGTGTTTGAAACCCCTCTAGAGAGCTGTGATTGGCCAGCCAGAATGCTGTTGGGGCTGCAGAGGTTCCAGTGGAGCATTCCTAGACCAAACTTTGCAAAGCAAGAATTTGGTCTAGTTCACTAGGCTAGGAAGAAGCGGGAGGGGAACGAAAAGGAGCAAAGTGATTAGCATAGCCTTCATCCTTACGCTATTGGACTTTTGTTTTAGCCTGGTGTAGCTTCAGGAGGGGTGTGCTAGCATCACGAATGCCACATTTCTGCCATTTTTAGATGTTTTCCAGCTTGAATACTGCAGTTTTGATTAAAAGGAGTGTTTAGCAGCTCCTGCAGAACTCGATAAAGGCTGAGGAGATAACTCATTAGTTAGAACCAGGTTTGTCAGACCAGGAACACCTCAATAAGTTATTTATCAGTTAGCACTACAATGCTATTTCTGTGCATGTGCACGTTAGGAGGCGTGGCTTTCAGCTCCTCCCAGAAGGGGAGAGATAGCGGGTCCCTAGAACCTCCCAATCCAGATCCTGCTATGAAGCATAAGGCATGAGTTTAAGGGCTGTACTCCACAATCATACTGATCCCCATCATGTGCATGAGAGCACTTTACGGCAGTTAGCTGTCAGTCTATGGTTTGGTTTCTGCAGAAGGTGCCTTGTGCACCTGTGAGTGGAATTGTTACATAGCTATAATGCTGCCAACATTCCCGTCTCTGCAGTGTGCTCATGCCAGGGTTGCAGGTTGCTGAAAGTTGTGCACATTTTCTTCTCACATTTTTTATGAAATCAAAAGGTTTGTGTAGAAAATGACTTCAAACGTCGGGCCTCGTTTTGTGTGTAACCAACATTTATGAATGGTTGCTGGTCTTCACACGTTTGCTGTGTGAGATGTGTGAGAACAGCGGAAGTGTAGCCCAGGACACGGTACATTTAAAAATTCCTTCGACATCACAAAGTCTCCAGAAGTCTCCTGTTCGACCATCTTGTGGTTCTGAAAAAGTTCTGGTCCACTCTTTTCAACAACATTGCTTCAGTTCATCAAGGTTTTTGCTCAACTCTCTGAAGGTCCCACCACAGTCAGGTTCAGGTCTGGACTGGACCATCACAGAACCTTGATTCTTTTCTTTTCCAGTGGTTCTGTTGTAGATCTGCTGCTGTGTTTGGACCATGGTTCTGGTTTATGACCCAGTTTGGCCCAAACTCCAAATGTCTTGACAGATGGACTCACATTACACTCTAGAAAACTTTGGTCTACAGAGAAGTTCATGGTGGACTTGGTGACTGAAAGGAGCCCACACCATCAGCCACCACCACCGTGCTGACAGCTGGGATCAGCTGTTTGCTGCTGGGTTTTAGGGGTAAACGTGTCTTTTTCCTGCTTGCTACTTTCCCTCTCCTACAGAAGCAGCAAATACTTCACAGCATTTAAATCTTTGCTTAACCCTCTCAGGCTCAAAATACATTTTGACAAAAGGACGAACAACTAAGTCCTTCAGCGGTACTTCTGAGTTGAAAAAAGCTCATGTAATACGTATGTGGAGTAACTAGGTAGGTAGGTTTTAACGTTGCAAATCTACAACGCCTGCCTCCAGAGGGTTGATGTTAGTCCAACACCATTATGTGTTTCTGTACCCTTCAGAGTTGATTTGAATCATCTGAATTACCTGAAATGTAAAATTATAAAACTGAAAAAGGTTCTATTTCCATTTCTGCTGTGTCACATGGTTCCAGCATGCTGTTTTCTCTGTCTGCTTCTTCCTAGTCTTCAGTCACATCTTCTGCTGCACACCTGCTCTGATCTTGGGTTCATAGGGAGCCTAAGTCCTGCCCACCTTCTTCTGGACCATGGGTCCCCTACTGTAAAACGAATGAATGGGAGTCTATGAGAGGATAAATGTTATTTTCTGGTCCTGTTTAATATGCATCATTGATTTCACATATGATGTCTGTGAATTTTAAAAGACAATTTGATGCCAAGAAAGAGCGTTTTTTCAAAAGGCAACAAAAGTTATTTTAGGTTTTGTGTGAAAATACGTATAAAACTACAAATGTGTCTCACCAAATTGACGTAATTGAACCAGACATGGAGTAAAGCAGAAAAATGGCTGCAAGTTTAGTGAGATTCACATCCTTCCTCCAGGACGACAGCAGGAGCATTAAACGTGGAGAAAACCACCATAAATCTGGTCATGTGGTGAGCAGCAGCTACCCTGGGGAGAGGAAATCCTGCTGTGATGTCATAAATGACACGTCTGATTTATATTTGTGTTAATTGTCACATAACTTGAAATTTGTTAACAAAATTGATAGACAGTCGAAACACAATATCATTTAGAACGATAGAACAAGAAGTGAATAGCTCTTATTGCTCCATTCAGGGACCCGTGAGCCAACCGCAAGGGAGGAGGATTAGGACGTTTGGTATCCTTCTTAGCAATACAGATGTCTCTGAGCGCGTGGGCGTGGCAAAAGACGAGCAGAGAAGTCTGTAGTGTCCTGAAGTTAGTAAACAAAGGCGGCCATTCTGAAGCACACAGCTTCCTGCTGCCTCACCGATACTGCTGTGTGCTCCTCACAGCAGTCTGTCGTCGCTGGAGCTGCAGAGTAGATGTTTACCCCACAGCATCCAGACTGGTAATAGGAGAAGCCGCTGCTGGCTGATTCTACCCTCCAATCAGAGGCTCTCTACAGGTCGAGTCAATCAGTCAATAGTGGGTGTGTTGGGTCGGCTTCACATGAAGCAAACCTCAAGGGAGCAGGTCTAAAGAAAAAAGTCCATTGAACTCAGAAAGCACACAGGTTACCCAGATGTGACACAATATACTCACCAAGGCTGGGCTGGGCTGACCCAGATGTGAAAGCCGTATTCAGTTCCCAATTCCTTCACTTTTCCTCTGGAATACAGGGGCGACAGCACGTGGTACAGAGGAAGTTTGGTAACTCTGAGGATTAGAGTTGAATGTAAAAGGGGGCTCTTAATGCATCGACTCCTCACAAATAGCACTTTAACGGTGAATGCCTTCTTATTTTAAGGAAAATACCATTTAGTTTGTTATTTTCTGAAAACCATTTGGGCTGATTCTGCTTCTGTTATTACTTCTCTGTAGATGTTTAAAAGCAGCAAAGGCATTGGTTAATGCAGTGGTAAATAAGCTATAACTAACACTGGGATTATTCTTCAACCAGGGCTCTTGTGAATCACATTCTCTTATATTTGACCAGGTGTGTGTAGACTTGTTGATCATGTGCTTCAGCGGTTGTTCCACAAAAATAAACAATCAATGATGAACAAGAGTCTGCTTCTAGACCTGCAGAAAAGGGACACACAACAACACAACAGGAGCAAGCTCTCACTGCGTCAACCTGATGAGGAAATATAAAATCAACATTGTTTAACTGAACAATAATAAATCAGTGCATTTAGTGCCAACCACAGCCTTAAGACATGTGTTGAACGTGCCCAAGTCCATACTTATGAGAGCACCATGTGAGCACCTGTGTGTGTACACGCGCTTGTTTATGTAAGGTTTCTCTATAGGAGCGTCCAATAGAGTGTGAGGGGCCACAGATCTGCCCCCCAAAGATGTGTAGGAGACGGAGGGACCTCCAAGTCCCAGAGATCCAGGAGCTGCCCCAGAGCCCAGGGACCCCAAGGAGACCTCGACCAGAAAAGCCCCCGCCCCCCTTGAGAGGCGCAGAGGATCACCCCGGGGGGCCACAACCAGCAGCCGGCAGAGTCCCGGGAGATGTCAGCGGCAAGCCCACAGGCCCGCCCGCAGTCTCCCACCCCCCAGCCGGGCGAGCCCAAGACCCAGCGACCCGGGACCCAGGGGCGACCACCCCTGCCAGTGACCCAGCAGAGCCCAGGGACCCAGATCCCACCAGGCAGGCACCGGGATTGGTCAGGCTGACCTGAAATACTACAACCAAAAACATGGATCAGAATGATCTAAGACTAGTGTGATGGGACAGACAGATCCGGTCTGGTCCCATCTCAGTTTGCAGTGTGGCTGCCCGTCTGTGTGCTGAGAGCCGCTATTCCATTCAGCTTTGCCCGCAGTGGTGCCACCCAGGGTAGCGGAGCGTTTGACGGCGTCAGCGGTGCACTGGCCCTCCTGCTGCTCCATCTCGCCATCCCATTACAACCAATCTCATCTCCAGAGCCGGTTGTGGGCCCAGAGGACTCCACTGCTGTTCTGTCCATAAGGATTTCTTTCGCCTACAGTGATTGGTGTTAATTAGTTGTCGGGCGTCGGACGCCTGGTTGGAACGCTCACAGGGTTGAAAGGAAGTATCCCGCTTTCGTCTGTGTATGACTGTATTTTTTTATGGTTTATTATTAGTTGGTGTGTCTAAGTTTGGTCAGTTTAACTTCCTCTAGCATTTGTTGGCCCTAGGTCAACGTGGTTACTTCCGGTGGACTAACGGGATAATTGAACCCCAAGCCCGTAAACTCCACCAGTATGGTTTTTAGCTTAGATTTTTAATAAAGATTTGTTTATCTGAAAGAAACCATCTGTTCCCATTGTGATTTTTTTAACCTACGGGCCTTCTACCCTTCCCTGGGTGTGTTTGTGTGGTTTTTTTTTTTTGGGGGGGGGGGGGGGGGGGGGGGGGGGGCGTTACAATATTTTTTATCCTTTATTTATACCACTATTTCTTACTTGCCACGCTAGACTAGTTTGTCCAATGATGTAAGACAGGAAATAAAAGAGCTGTGCTTAATTCAGGAAATAGTGGAGTTGTGCACAAAGCTCAGAAAGCACAAGTTTGTTTAAAAAAAATAGCACAGCCCCACCAAAAATATTTTTCACCAGCCGCCACTGTTCCTAGCAGAGGAAGGCGGCTGGACACCCGACTGTCTATTTGACTTCTCATATTGCTGTGGGCAAATAACTTTGTTGGCCGTTCCCAACGTTACACAAAGTACCAAACAAATAAGCCGGCAGGTCTATGGTGATTCAAAGCTGGCAACCGTGAGGTTTCGTACTATGAAACTCCAAATTATTCAAAATTCAGTAAATTAATAAGACACTATGAAATAAGTATCTACCTGAATAAATACTAGACAAGTATGTAATCTTACGTTGAAATTGTGAAATAAATGTTATGTAAAATCGAAGCTTATTGTTATGAAATATCTTTCATTATTTATTTAAAATGTGTTTATTAATGTAAAACTTGACTTCACAAGTCATTTTTCTATATTTTAATCAAAATTATTACCGAGATGTTTTTATTTATTTATTTCAATTCTGATTACATTCTTTTCACAAAGTCAGCTTTTATTTTGTAATAGTGTTTTTTACCCCATATCTGATTTATTTCATGAGACTTTACAGCAGAACGTCTGAGTCTGTCAATGAAGACAAGCAGGATGAAACTAGTTTGTGATTGGATATTCATTTCAGACAAAAGCAATCACACATGGAGCTTCAATTGTACAGCTGTATGGTCCCAGCTGCTTTGAAAGCAGCTGTTGTTCGGCCGACCCTGAAGAAACCTGGTGATGATGTCTCTGTGATAGAAAATTACAGGCCTATCTCTACCCTGCCTTATACATCAAAACTGCTTGAGAAAGTTGTTTATCAGCAGCTGGTCTCACATTTAGCTGACTCTGATCTGTTTGAGATTTTCGAATCAGGGTTCAGGTCTGGCCATAGCACAGAGTCAGCTCTACTGAGGGTCTTAAATGATATCTATCACTAGATCAGGGTACATCTGTGGTGCTTCTGTTGTTAGATCTGACGGCAGCCTTCGACACAGTTGACCACGCGATTCTACTTGATCGCTTGGAACGATGGGTTGGGATTAAAGAGTCTGCTCTGGATTGGTTTAGATCGTATCTCCACAACAGGACATTCTGTGTTAAACTGGGTGATGTTTTTTCTTCTTGGGAGTGGCTTCACTGGGGGGTCCCGCAGGGATCGATCCTTGGTCCTCTTTTGTTTGCCATTTATCTGCTTCCCCTGGGGGTCAGTCTTTCGTAAACATGGCCTAGCGTTCCATCTCTATGCTGACAATTGCCAGATTTACTCTCCATTGTGTCAGGAGAAAGGTCACTCTATCCAGTCCTTTGTGTCCTGTCTTAACGAGGTGAAGTCTTGGCTATTGGCCAACTATCTGCATCGGAATGAGGGAGAACTTGTGTGCAGCTGTGAATATTCTTTTCTGTTTACCATAAGAAGAGTTTTAGTAAGGATTCTATGCAAAGTTTTACAAACGGTACAGGTTGCATCTATAAAACATAGAGTAGATGTTTGAGATAACATCACAGATTGTTTTTAACAAGCAGACAATCAGGTAGAGCAAGTTCTTCAGCCCTGACATTCTTCTGTCGGCCTGCCTGATCTACAGCCTCGTTTTCTTTGTGTCTGTCGGAATTAATGGACAGTGATATTTAAGTTCTGATGATTGTGATATTTAATCTAAGGAATCATCCCGAAGATAATAAAGTTTAATGTTTTATTCATATAGCAACAGAAAACTTGAAGGTAAGTCTGTGGGTCTCATAAAGACAAGTATAAAAATGTCTGCATTTTACCTAAAAAAAAACAAAAACTTATTAAAAACTGAGACATCCACACCGGTTCTACTGCACAATGATGAGCTGGTTTTCAGAACAGCCTTGCAGCAATTAGAGACCTTCTTAGGCTTTTCTATAACCAAGTTACGTTAAATCTTTGCGCGAGAAAGAAAACACATTGTTGATTATCATTGGTACAAATCAAAATAATATCTTTATTATTAACAAACACTATTAACAATCAACCCTGTGCATATTTTCCTTTACATACCACTTGTAAAGCTGTAACTATTCTACAGTTACCAATTTTTCTACTTATGGTTTGTTGATACAACCTATTGCGTCATGATTTGAGAGTGAGGTGAGGATCCAAACACAGGGAGAGAGAGATGAGCAGGAGGCAGGCAGTTAACGTAAAATTTTAATGACAAGACTAAAACGTAGAGGATTCGACACAGACATTGTACACTGGAGGGCTTAAATAAAAAGAAAACATCAGAAAAAGGTATGTCACATCAACCAGGGAAACAAAAAAGTAAAAAGAAAATGGGCCGGAGGAGCAACACCTGACAAATATTTTACTCCTAACAAGAAAACATGTAGATTTAAAGACCAGACAACAGCTCTTTTGTGAGCTCAATAAAAAACCCAGCTGGCCTTCCTGTGTCTTCAAAATTACACTTTCTAGTCTGGAGGTTTTCTCTCCACCACCTCCTTCACCAGAGTAATGAGAAGAGAGGAAAGGAAGGAAGTTTTAATGGTGGAAGTGAGCCGTATCGTTTCTTATCGGCTCGTGAGTGGCCATGGTAGCCAGAGGCAAGGTTGAAACTGCTGAAATGCTGCCACATCACAAATACTGGCTCACATCAAAAATCACTACTTAGCTGTTAGTAGTGGCTAATTCAAATGCAGAGCAGACTTTTAACCCAAAGAGGGTGCAACATTGATGGTTTTAGGCAGAATATTTATGTTTTAAATAAGATGCACTAAGATTAATAAATAATGACCACATATGTCTACAGCACTGTTTGACACTCATTTATAGTTTATCAGCAGAAAAGTATGATTTGAGAGTGACTTGCTCTGTAAATACTGAGGGAGGTAATTGCTAAACAGGGACAGGTAAGTTAATGGCAAACAGGTGTGCATGATCAGTGAATGGGGAGCTATGGGAAGGTGAACGATAAACCTGAGCCAAGACAAAGGAAACCTGATCACAAGGAAAACAATAATAATCTTTAGAAAACTCAAGAGAACGTAATCTGGTAATTTTACGCCAACTAATGACATTTTTAAAAGAGTGGGAAAATAATTCCTGGCACCAAACCTGTTATTGTGCAACAATTGTGCACCTCTGTTGTTTTCTTTGTTTGACATACATTGTGTTTTTGTTGTAACATATGATTATGTGTAATTGTATTTGTTGGTCTTGTGCTGCCTTCCCGGACCAGTTCACAGTTGCAAATGTGATTTGAATGCTTAATGAGTTTTCACCTGGTCTAAAAAAAGAATAACATAACTCACAACTAAATAAGCAGACATAGCAATTAACTAACCTAAAAAATCGCCTAAAACTCCAGTTTATTGCAATAATGGTCGATAGTTGAACTTGTCAGCATGATATGCAGCCTGTGTGCTGAGTTTGAACACCTTGTTCCTATCAGTCACATCAGATGATTTACAAAGTTTTACCTAAATGACACGAGGGTTTAGGTGACACTTCATGAATCAAAATAACATTTAAAGAACATGCTGCTGGTACTTTTGA